GACTGTGTATGTGACAAATAAAATTTGAATTTGAATTTGTTGATTTCCTGGGTTTGATTTGGGTCAACAAAACCAGTTTATCAGACGTGTCACCTTCATTAAAGTCTCAACAGCTGCAGCTCAAACCTCACCCAAGTTTTGGTAAGATCGCTCGTTTGGGCCTGAAATCAAAGAAAAAGTTCAACTTACCAACATGCAGATGTCCATGGGCAGGTAGACTTTCCGTCGGCTGCTGTAATAAGGAGTCGCTCTCAGACATGTTATGATTCCCTGAGCTTTACCGACGTGACTCGCTGCGTGGTCCGCTTGGACATTTTTGACACCTGCAAAGAAAGACAGCCACACAGTTTGGCATCACCTACTATAATTCTTTTCGTAACACCAAAGTACACCAATTAAAGCATCTAAAACAGACTTTTCTCATTTTGAGGGGCCCAATCCTAACTATAGTCCTTTCATTTTGGATGTCTCCAATTCATAATCCAATCTGACACCTATAAATTTACTTCAGTGTTGATTAAATATGTATTTGGCACATTAGAGTAATAGCCACAGCCTTCTTCTAGCCTCCTGGCATATTTACTTACAATGTGACACAATTAGAGGGAGGGGTCTGCTGGTATTACAGAATAATGAATCCACCAGCACAAAACACCAGAAACAATATTTGGCAGGATACAGAATGCAGAAAGAAGACAAAATAAACAACAGACCATTTATTTTGACCTATATTTAAGTTTTTAAATGGAAAACTTACTGGCTTAAATGGTGAAAAGGAGAATTTGTGCTGGCTAAAATGAAACTTTGCTAAGAGGGTTAGAAGAGCTGGCTTAGGCCGGCACAGCTGTCAGAGCAGAGACAATCACTGGTGTGACCAGATAATTTCCCTTTTCACACTCTGTTAACTTTCACTCTCATATCCAGTGAAATGCTGCTGTGTAAAATCCGGCTCTGATTAAAGAAACCTGCAGCCACACGGGCACACTGAAGTGACAACACACAGGAGAGCTGAAAAAAGGAAACTACTGGATTTTGACTGGATTTGTTTCAGCAAACAATGACCCATAAAATATGGATGGATCTGCCCAGATAAAGGTCTTTAGGAGGGACTCAGGACACCCCTCAATTTATAATTACTGTTTGTCTTTTAGCTATCAACAGTTTCTTACCTAAACACTCTAGCAGGAGGTAAATCAAGGATGACTGTGTGTTCTCTGAATATGCCTCCAGCTCCTGAAGGTTCCTGTAGGCTCTGTCATCCAAGTCCTTTTCCTGGTAAAACAAAGTTTTAATAACAGAAATGTCACTTTTCCCATTTTTAATTACACTAAACGGCAGCTGGGAAGTTTAGTTTTTATTTCCATTAAAATAAGGCATTATTTAACCTCTACGGGCACAGGATGCAACCATCTGACAGGTCTTGTAGATAACCCACAAAGCGAAAATAATAAATGAAAAATGAAAAAAAGCAAAATATACACATGCAAAGACGAGTTTATATTGTCACATTTAAGCAGTTATTCGTGTTCAGTTTCACTCATCAACAAATTCATTTATTATATCACAATTTAAACTTGCAGAAAATTGAATTTAATGATCATCTTAATTTTGTCTTACTCTCTCTGTTATGATCCTCAGCAGCCATCTCTTTGTCAGTTTATGTGTCCTCACTGCCTGAAAAACACCACACAGACTGTTAATTAGCTGAGATGCAACACTGATTCAGATTGGTGCCCCTCAGCTAATTGAAGCCGAGGGACAGAAACACAGAAATCCGACACACTGCATGGCACGTTTAAAACTGAAATAAGACATCCAACATCCTGACAGTGTTTCCCCTACATATTGCTAACATGAAGAAAAAACACCTTAAAATACTCTGTATTCTGTTGGCTAATATTTACCCTCCACAGCTCAGTGCTGACTGGTTGGTTCGGAGGCTCATCTCTGTAGATTTCTTCTATAGCCGTCTTCCAAAACTGCATTCGCATCAAACCAATGGTCTTTTGGGAAACAGAATCCTTCACCTTGTAGAGAAACAAATGAGCAAAACAAATGGTTGACAAGACAGTTTTAGAAGGACAAGGATCTGAAATTAGCCACTGTAAGGATTTCATTAAATTCCTTTCTTTTTTATTTTTAATTAAGAGGAAAGTCAGGATAGAGGATAGTCAGGAATAGTGGCGGTATAACAGTAGCAGCAGCGGCAGTGACGCAAGTAGTAGAAAAACAGCAGTATTATCAGTAATCATTCTGCATTCAGCCTGATTGTACCAATACCTGCCTGTGCCAGCTCCACATTAAAGGCCCTCAGAGCCAGAGCAGAGCGCCGTGCCTTCTCTGGGAGGAGGAGAGAGGACAGGAAACCATCATAGTCTCTGGACCTGAGGAGGAGAGAGAGAACGAGCTGATAGGAGTGCCGGGAAGCAGGAGATGAGATTTCATGTTTTATCCCAAAACATTTTCATACCCATATAACAAAATAGTCCCATTAACTTGGTACTTCTGTATAGCCTTTTTTGACAACACTGTAATTTGGCACAAGTTGGACAAGATAACTTCAAAAGCCACATTTTAAAACAAACACTTAAAAAAATTAATAAATAGGAGATTAAACAAACCAATTAACTTAAATATGTTCAAACAAAAATAAGTTCACATCAAACACAACCGAAAGAGCTTATTACCTCCAGTGAGTTTCTGACGGTTTTACTAAAAACTAAACAAAAGTACCTGCAAATAGGGATCCCAGGGAACAGTTTGGGATCCCAAAATATTAGGAAGTCTTAGTTGTTAGGGATCCTTTTAAGAAAAAAAAATTTCAAGTGACCCACCCATATTCCTACAAAATAATAGTATTTTGAAATGATTTTTTTTCTAAAACATTTGATCTGTAAGTTCTCATATAAGAGCTCAAGCAGCCAATGTTAATGGGTGGAGAAAATAAGGGCACAATATGTCTTTTTTTCTAGCACCATTTAGAAATTGTAATATTAGAGATCAGCTTTATAACATAGAAAAAGTGAGCGCTGCAGATTTTGTTTAATCTTAGTGACGATCATATATATCCAACAAGGGGAGGTATGTGATCCTCGTGGCCTTTGTACAGCTGTTGTTTCCATTTTAGATCATTTTCTGAAGATGTCATGATTTAAATAATGATCATATCAGTTCATAACAAAAATACAACTGGTAGTTTCTCATTGCAAGCATAAAAAGGCTTTGTTTTTTTACAGGCCTCATTGAACTGACCAGCAATGAAAACCAGAAAATCCAAGGAATCCAGTGCAGATCTAAGGAGAAGTGTTGATTTACACAGGTTGGGGAGGTCTCTTGGAGCCATTTCTAAACAACTGCAGATTCCAAGATCATTGGCTTAAAAAAATGTATGAAAGTACAAGTTATTTGGATTTGTCACCACTTGGCCAAGGTCTGGAAGAAGACCTAAACCAGGGGTCGCCAATCCCAGTCCCCGAGGGCCGGTGTCCCTGAAGGTTTTAGATCTCACCCTGGGTCAACAAACCTGAATCACATGATTAGTTCATTACCAGGCCTCTGAAGAACTTCAAGACATGTTGAGAAGGTAATTTATCTATTCAAATGGATCAAGGACACATCTAAAACCTGCAGGGACACCGGCCCTCGTGGACTGGGATTGGGGACCCCTGACCTAAACTGTCGCCCTCATATGAAAGGAAATTGCTTAACGATGTTCAAGAAACCCACTAACCACCAAGGCCCAACCCTGCCATCAGAATCAGAATCAGAAAGACTTTATTTATCCCCAAGGGGCAATTAAAATACAACAGAGCAGCAATACGTTGAAGATAAGGACAGGGCATAAACAGGCAATAAGAGTGAGATAATATGAATGAACTATAAACTGCTGGCGCATCAGCGTCACTGTCCACAGGAAAGAGAGCTCTATATCAACAAGGACTGAGAAGTGAGAGAGATTATCCCTAACACAAATCAAAACTCGTTTTGTAAGGATAAACGCCACTGAAAATTTATGGAATAAGTTTAAAAGTCACGAGCGTGTCAAGAAACCAACCATAATCTTTGCTTTTTTAAAGTAATTAAACCTGTATGCTGTATAGTCATTCTACCCTGGAAAGTAGAACAATTTAAAGAAATCATTAAAATGACATACAAATTATATTCATTTGAATAATTGGTGTATGTAAACTGTATGTGTGCGATATTTGAAAGAAGTCTTGCATAGAGATGTGTCCCCACAAAACTTAAAAACTTTAGATTGCTTCTATATTTTATTTTTCAATAACAGGACAAAGTTTCTTGCTATAAGTGACCGGATTATATCTGCTTTCTATAAACACAGATTACCTAATTAACCACTAACCCAGTTTGTGTTGCTAGCAGTCAGACCCACCTAACCAGATCCAGGCAGTACTTTTCAGTGTGTTGTGAGTCTCCCGTCGTGCTGGTTGATGTCCTCACACTCTGTATTTCGGCTGCTCGCTGGATACAAACACTATAAGGTGATATTTTCCTCTGAAGACCATAAACCAACCGGGCTTTGCTGCATAATAATCCATGTTTCACACTAACACCAGCCGCCATGTTCCCCTTTAGCATGCACCCCGACCTTGTGTTACATCAAAATAGTTCCCCGACTACCTTGAACCAGCGGATTTATTTATTTATCAATAAAATAGCCAGCGTCCGTGTTGTTAATTAATTTCCCTTGTATATTTGAAATATAAAATGTAAAAAAATACATCTGATTTGTTAATTAGGTATAAAAGTCCTAATTCAATTGAACTTATTGTGGTTACCGGTAACACCACCGGATATGGCATGACCCTGCTGCCAAAATAAGAGCCGGTATCCTATACTCACATTTACCACAAATAGTTTATGATTAAAATAAGGGGAGATTCTGTTTGTTTTTGAATGATTTACGAACATATTACAAAAACGACATGAAATAACTTTCATATCTATTCTTCTGACAATGATGTGCAACATAGCAACCATTATTTTGAAATTTAGCAGGAAAAGGGGTTTGTCGTGTGTTTTCTGCTGGCTTTGATAAGGATGTGGGATCCACGGGAGGAGACAGGAGTTTGACAGGCTAATTTTCCTCTTCATATGGCAACAGAGTCGGTGAAATGTACGTGTGTCTGGCTGCTGTTGTGGCTCTGTGTCCGGCTGTCCCAGACCACAAATACCCGGTAAGGCGCTACTTCCTGGTTGAGCTAACCGTTATATATAGTCAACTGCTAACTAACTGTTGTTAGCCAAGAATAAAGATTAAAAGAAACGTGTCTTCTTCATTTTCTTTTTCTGGTTAAAAAAAATCACTTGAAGTAGGTGGCTGACGATATTTCGGGATGAAGTTGACTTAATGTACAGTGTTTAATTACCTACACGTCAGCATACAAACTTAGGTAAAGTCACTTGCCAGCTGTTGGGCAACAGTGTCCAATGTTTAAAGTCTTATCAGAAGAGTCCAGAGTTTACTATTCACTCTTGCGGCTATTCACTATTAACCGCAAATACAGTACGTAATTTAATGTGCTTATTTAAATACACCTAATAATAAATAATAACAGCATTAACAAACACGTGTAAGTCATTTGTGGTTGGCTCGATTGAATGTCTTCACACTAA